TGTTGTTGTTGTTGTTGTTGTTGTTGTTGTTGTTGTTGTTGTTGTTGTCGTTGTTGTTGTTGTTGTTGTTGTTGTTGTTGTTGTTGTTGTTGTTGCTGCTGTTGCTGTTGATGTTGTGGTTGTTGTTGTGGTTGTTGTTGTTGTTGTTGTTGTTGTTGTTGTTGTGGTTGTTGTTGTTGTTGTTGTTGCTGCTGTTGCTGCTGTTGCTGTTGTTGTTGTTGTGGTCGTTGTTGTGGTCGTTGTTGTGGTTGTTGTTGTGGTTGTTGTTGTTGTTGTTGTTGTTGCTGTTGTTGTTGTTGTTGTTGTTGTTGTTGTTGTTGTTGTTGTTGTTGTTGTTGGTTTTGCTGTTGTTGTTGGTTTTGCTGTTGTTGTTGTTGTTGTCGTAGTTGTTGTTTTTGGAGACGTTTATGTTGACTTTAGTTGTAGTCTTTAGTTGTTGATGAATTGCTACCTGTTTGTTGTTGATAGTGGTGTTGTTATTGTCATATTAGTAGAAGTAGTGGTTGATGTTTTTGCTGTCTGTCTGTCTGTCTGTTTGTTTGTCTGTTTGTTCGTCATACCTTCTTTATTTTCAGTTCTTTGGCCTCTTCCTTTCTTTCTTCCAGATGTTTTAATCTTTGCTCAATATCTAGGCTTAATTTTCTCACAATGCGAAGTCTGATCTTGTGATCCTGTCAGTAAAGTACGAAGAAATGGATGAAACTTAGCCTTGCCCGATTTTAGGGACCGCCTGCCATGCAGGCTAGATGAAACTTGGATGAGAAATTATAGCAAAGCTTTGTCTTGCTTTGCCGAGAAAGCAGAATCCATCATAAGCCCATGGTATAATTTACGCATGATGCATAACTTAATTCGTAATCAGGCTTTTCAAGGACCCAAGACATAGTTAAACTGTTTGTATCATAAAAAGTGGGCTCCTTTGTGCACATGCGCAGATCGGACTGTAGATCACCTTTAATTCGCTGACGGAGGTATGCCGTCTCCAAGGGCCTCTAGTAAACAATTCAACGATGGCTGATTCCAGCTTTTGACGAAGTATTGATCTAGACAAGAAGAACGAACTTCATTCCCATAGCTGGAAAGAACATCTTAAAATGAGTAAAATTGCAAAGTTTGGTTGCGAATTGTTGTAAAATGAGGAAAATATAGCCCTGTGAAGTTCGCAAATTTTGTATATATTTGCATTACGCGCGGGAAAAATAACCATTTTTGAGGCGAAAGTGGTTATTTTTACCGCGCGTAATACAAATATATACAAAATTTGCGAACTTCACAGGGCTATATTTTCTTCATTTTACAACATTTAGCAACCAATCTTTGCCGTTTTACTCATTCTAAGACGCTCTTTCTAGCTGTGATGTTGGATTTCGTCCTTCTTGCCTTGATCAAAATTTAGTTTCTAGCTGGAATACCCCCTATCATGAGCATCAATCGTAGTAAGACCCACCTTGCGTTCGTCATCACATTTTTTCTTTCTTAATCTCTCTCTTTCTAAATCTCGCTTGATCTGAATGCGGTCTCGAGTCTTTCGTCTGATTTCCACGAAGTTCTCGCGTCGTTGACGATCCATTTCTTCCAGCTTTCTCAGACGTTCTTGCTCTCTCTTGATTCGTTTCTGATGGATCTTCGCTTCCTCGCGTTTCTTTTCACGTCTGAAAATATCCAAATCAATACCTTATTATTGACTGATAAGATAAATATCAAAAGATGACATATTATTTCTTTCTGTGCTGGTGTTATGTAGTCAGGTGAATATGATGCTTGTGATGTTACTCTATATTTAATGATGAACATCATTAAAGTGTACCTAACCCCAAGTATGATTTTTGGTATCTATATTTTGGTAAATATATCTTAAAAATAAAAAATCCGATCTTGATCAACTTTTTCACTGGATATGATATCATTAGGTGAATTGCAAATTAGTTTTCCTTTGTTTTTTGTACCAAAGTTTCACCTAATGACATCATATCTGGAAACTTTGACATTGACGTAATGGGTCTTTATCCATACCTTCGTTTCAAAATTTCCAATAACTCAGGGTCTCTTTCCAAAGCGATTCTTTCCAGTCTGTTCTTCTTTGCTTCTTCGATCTGTTTCTCGTCTTGTCTTCTCTCACGATGAAGTTCATCTAGCTTCAATTTCCTGATCCACTGACGATATTCGTTGAACTCCTTCAGGGAACATTTCACGTAACCATCATCCGTTATGAAACCTTTAGGGACACAAAACAACGATCAATAGGAAAATATGGTAATAGTGTTCAAATTTTGATCAGAGTTGATGAGAGTTTTCGCCACGCGCGCGGTAATATCCAACTAACTCTCATCAACTCTCATGCAACTCTTGTTCTCGTTTGACCGGGGCACGACAGTTGAGAAAACTCTCGTGCAAACTCTCACTTCTCATGCAAACTCTCGCTTCCCAACTCTCGTGCAACTCTCGCTTCTCAACTCTGATGCAAACTCTCGCTTCTCAACTCTGATAAAAACTCTTGCTTCTCAACTCCCGTGCAACTCTCGCTTCTCAACTCTGATGCAAACTCTCGCTTCTCAACTCTCATCAACTCTGATGCAAACTCTCGCTTCTCAGCTCTCATCAACTCTCATGCAAACTCTCGCTTCTCAACTTTCATCAACTTTCATGCAAACTCTCGCTTCTCAACTCTGATGCAAACTCTCGCTTCTCAACTCTCATCAACTCTCATGCAAACTCTCGCTTCTCAATTCTCGTTCTCCTTTGACGCACGGCTTTACTCGCAGCTGAAAGCTAAGCCAAATTGCGAAGGAGCTTCAGGAATTGTCTTGAACCAAACAAAACGTTGATTAAACACACGTCGCCATTACCTTCGTCCACCATTCTCTTCCGGATGTCATTCGATCTAAAATAGACCTGGAGATGCTGGTCATGGAGACAGTTGTACGAGTGGCTTGGACGCAGAGGATCAGTCAGATCAAACTCCCTGTCCTTTGGCATTTGACGAAGCTGAAGACAGTGGCAAAGAAAAAAGATTTAACATAACTCATAAGGTAAGGCAGTGCATTTTTTAAGCTAAGGATTCTTCAGTGGTGGGGCAAAACTGCAAAAAGGGCCCATTTTCATTGTCCTCCTCCCAGGATAGTATGCGATCGCCGAAGGTGTGAGCTGAGTGCGGCAGGCACGACTTAGTTAGGGGGGTCTGGACTCTGGGGGCATGTCCCCCCAGGAAATTTTTAAAATTTGAATCTCTGAAATAGCATTTCATTCTGAGAACACATTTTTGGCCCAAATGTGGTAGCAATTTCCGCACGCAATACAAAAGTATACAAATTTGCAAACTTTGCAAGGCTATATTTTCCGCATTTTACAACATTTCGCAACCAGACTTTGCTATTTTACTCATTTTAGTATGCTCTTTCTAGCTGTGGTGATTTATTTGCATCTCCTTGCCTAGTTTTAAAATTAGTCTATAATGGGAATTGTCAATTCAAAGTATAAATATATAAATATTATATAAATATATTATTATATTTTACTAATTTTAATAAGTTCTTTACTTTTCTTTGCCTATAGATAAAAAATTAGTCTAACATGCATGCAAGTTGTCTATTCAAAGTACAAACATTTTAATTTATAAAGTAAACATACCTTTTCGCCCAGTGGTGTTGTATAAAAGACAATGGATCCAGTGGGGGCTGGTACCATGGGAAATTTACCGTCCAAACTTTTAATGCTCTCATTCATAAGCCATGCAGGTCGTATGCGCGGCAGGTTCAGATCAAAGCGCCCTTCGTCACTGATGTAATTCGGAGGCAAGAGATTGCCCATCGATCGCGGTTTTCTCAACAAATTATTCGACATTTTGTGTTTACGATTTTTACGCTCACATTTTCATTTTGACTATTTACTAGCGAATGTTCATTAGTTCGTGATGTCATTAATGAGCGTGTTCAATTAGGTGCGCGCGCGCGACGTTCTCTTAACTTAAAATTCATTAATTAAAATTATTTAAACATGGTAGCATTTTTAAGTAAGTTTTTCTGAGTTTTGAGCAGAAATACTCCACACTGAACGTTGTGCTGTATATGAAACTGAAGCTATTGAAAAACGCTATTTGGTGTAGAAATTTCAAGACTTTAGCTAAAAGGAAAATATTTAAAAACTACAAAAATAATTGCCGATAATTTACCATTTTTTGGCCGAATTGTAGTTGTTTTTGTATTTTGATATTTAAGACGAAGTCTTGAAATCTCCACATAGAATAGTAATTTTCAATAGCTTCAGTTTGATATATAGCCCAACGTTTGGGATCAAGTATTTCAGCTCAAAACGGCAGAAAACCTATTTTGGCTTCAGCGAATCATAGGCTTAAATCATAGGAGTTATAGCCTTCCAGTTTATATAGAGTTCACTGGTTTTCAATGGGCAAACCTCGGCCTTAATAATTCCTCAGCTCGACCTCACTCCATAATTTTTTTAATGTTCCCGACAAACGTGCAGTAATCGCGCAAAGCTTTTTGAACGCTTCCGAAACTATAATGAAGACGCGATAATTTAAATACATATTTACAATGCAAAAGGCTCGCATTCGATTAGGTCTTGCATCACGCGATTGGGAGATTGCGGCCCAATCGACCCGGTAGCGATTTTTTCAACATGTGGAAAAATGCCTAAAAGCCACAGAACTACTGATATGAATCTCACATTAAATAAAAAGAAACTTGAATTGACAGATATGAAAGTTTAATCAGGGTTATACAAATCAACTAGAAACGGTTTGAAAAAATCACTACCCGGTGAATAGCGTTATCAACCTTTCGTTCAATCTGTCCCTGAATAAAAACGTTCCAGTTAAATAGACGAAGTCATTACTGGCTTGTATGCAATATACTATACTGTGTACTTGAAATAAGCATAAGTATCTTTGACAGCATCACAAGAACCAAGAATCTAAAATAAAATAGGGCGGTTGTTCAAACAGGGGTGGATCCAGCAAGGTTTTTCTTGGGGTGGGGGTGCTGGGTGAGTCGCCGAGTGTTTCTTTATAATCATTTAGGGGTTGGTGGGAGAGAATTCAAATGAAATGGCTTCCTAACGACTCGAGCGCCGAAGGCGCGAGCTCCCTAGGGGTCCAGGGGTATGTATGCTCCCGGACAATTTTGAAAATTAGAACCCTAGAAATGCCATTTGCTGCGATATGGGCATTGAATTATGAGCTTCAGTTTGACTTCAAAAAAGGAAAAACCTTGGAAATTATGTCATATTTCTGAATTTGATATTTTTTGCACCCCTGTTGGCCTTGGTGCGCACCCCCCCCCTTATAAATCCACCCCTGTGTTCAAACAAAAACCATGGCACTTGCAAACAAATAATGTACGATATTTACCTGACATCCAGCTCTCTGCGCCATTGCAGAAACTTTATTTAAATATTCATTACTTTGTTCCTCTTTTAAATCTATCATAAACCTATAAGCGTATGGTTTCAGTATTTAAGGCTCATTTCCACCCAAGAAAATTTTCCATGGACAGAACATTTTGCGAAAATATCTTTGTTAAAAGTTGAAAATTTTCAACTTCAAAATTTTCTTCCGACGGAAAATATGTGTTGACCAATCACATTTTACAAAATGTTCTTTCTGTGGAAAATTTTCCCGAGTGGAAATGGCCTTAAAGCATATTACAAAAGCCCATTTGGGCAGGAGACTGGGTTAAAACCGGTATTAAACTTACTTTGTAGTCTCGAGAATCAACATGGAATGCTGGGAAAAGAGAGCTTTGACCTCCGGTGTGCAGAGATGGACCGTACTACAGGAATGCAAAGAACAGTCGGTTAACTCGTTTGCAAAGAACCGTCTAGTTTATGCTATTTAAAACATACATGAAGCAGTGTTTTATCAGATATAAAGATACGAGGCGAAACCGGGTATCTTTAGATCTGACAAAACACGCACTGCGAATGTTTTACATTGCTTCAAAAACGATCGATCTAGTAAGTTCATTGGCGAAGTAATTTTCAAAAAATACGTTGTGTAAGTCGAGAAAATCAAAGTTAAATCAAGGGAAATCTCTATTACATATAAAGATACGACACGCTTATGATTTTTCTTTGTGTTTTCCTCAAGATTTATTAATGAGTTTTTGAAATATTACATAACCGCCCAAGTTTTGCATCTTAACATCATAACACCCTCACCTGTTTGAGAAATAGACCAAATTAAACAATTCTCTATACTTGCTTTTCTTCTGTAAATCAGGCACGCAGTTCAAGGGTAAGAAATACACCTTGACGTTGTCCGTTGCTATGTAACCTGCGTCTGTTGAGGAGAGATGTTGATTTTGTTAATGGTGAATGGTTGATTTCAGTTATAGAGAAAATTTTGATCTAGGCAAGAAGAACGAAATCCAACACCACAGCTAGAAAGAGCATCTTAAAATGAGTAAAATTGCAAAGTTTGGTTGCAAAAGGTTGTAAAATGAAGAAAATATAGTCCTGTGAAGTTCGCAAATTTTGTATATATTTGCATTACGCGCGGGAAAAATAACCATTTTTAAGGCGAAAGTGGTTAGTATTTTTACCGCACGTAATACAAATATATACAAAATTTGCGAACCTCACAGGGCTATATTTTCTTCATTTTACAACCTTTTGCAACCAAACTTTGCAATTTTACTCATTTTAAAATGCTCTTTCTAGCTGTGGTGTTGGATTTCGTTCTTCTTGCCTTGATCAAAATTTTGTCTTTGGCTGGAATCACCAACACACACACAAAAAGTATCACAAGAATTCAGTATCGAGTACCTTGTTTTTCCTCAGTTCCAATATCCTTCTCTGTCACTTGTAGTTCCTCAACTTCCTCAATAACCTCTTGTATCGTTGCTTGTTCCTGCTTACCCCTGGCAGTACTGTGCTGTTTCACTGGCTCATATTTCTGACGGTTCATAATCTCATACATGAATGACGTTACGTTGTGTGCTGAGATATCACGAGCGCTCTGGACGAAGTGAAACGAGGATTTAAAACATATAATATATACAACAACCTAACTACACGCGTAACAAACCTGCAGCAGACTTGTAGCAACGCAGTTCCAACAACTTGTCAACAAGATGTGTTCGCACTGCTTGTTTCCAGCTTGTTGACAAGTTGCTACAAGGTTGTTGTGCTCAACAGACTTGTTACAAGTTGTTCCAACAACTTGTTATCGTCCTGCAATTCAACAATTTGTCAACAAGTTGTGAGTGACAACCTTGTAGCAACTTGATAAAATAACAGCATTGACACAACTTGTTGACAAGCTTGCTACAAGCCTGTTGCGAACACATCTTGTTGACAAGTTGTGAGTGACAAACTTGCAGCAACTTGATAAAATAACAGCATTATTACAACTTGTTGACAAGCTTGTTACAAGCCTGCTGCGAACACATCTTGTTGACAAATTGTGAGTGACAAACTTGTAGCAACTTGATAAAATAACAGCATTGTTACAATTTGTCGACAAGCTTGCTACAAGCCAGTTGCGAACACATCTTGTTGACAAGTTGTGAGATTTTTACTAACAGACCAACGAAGCAGCCAAAAATTTCACAAACGACCAACCTTGACGTAAACATCATTTTTCTTCTCAAACAAAGATTCTTCGTCACTTTCAATTCCAAATGCCAAGTAAGGACTGTTTATGATGTCACCCCAATAACCACGACTGCCACACTTTTCTGAATCCTAAACACAAACATGTTTTCCTTGGTAGGGATGCAACTACCTGAAAAATATAAGGAGAAATTCGACGCAAAGCGAAGACCTTTACGCCCGTATTCTAAAAGCTCACTCACACTCACACTCAATGAGTGGAGGTTCAATCTGAGCTTCTCTTGAGTGTCAATGCTGTTTTTAAATAGCTGAAGGGTTAGTGTCGTACCTTACTATGTGAATACTCACCCTCCAGCTATTCAAAAACAGCACTGACACTCAAGAGAAGCTCAGATTGAACCTCCACTCATTGAGTGTGAGCTTGAGTGAGCTTTTAGAATACGGGCGTTAGTCGGGAAGTTAGAGCCTTGAATTATTTGAAACGTCGAAATTCTCCTTATATTTTCAGGTAGTTGCATCCCTATCAACGAAAGCTTGTTATTATTGGCACTACCTAAACTGGCTCAGACTATCGCCTGTATTGTAAAACCTCACTCACACTCAATGAGTGGAGGTTCAATCTGAGCTTCTCTTGAGTGTCAATGCTGTTTTTGAATAGCTGGAGGGTTAGTGTCATACCTTACTATGTGAATACTCATCCTCCAGCTATTCAAAAACAGCATTGACACTCGAGAGAAGCTCAGATTGAACTTCCACTCATTTAGTGTGAGTGAGCTTTTAGAATACGGAAATGAACTCTCACACAATCATACCTTGGTGACGACGAGACCAGATGCTAAGCTACGATTGGTTGTTTCATAAGAAGCATCTTCACGTAACTCGAATGCCACGCCCTGATCACGCCATACCTTGTATTCTTGGAAACGGATTATGGGAGCCTACACACGTAAAAACACACAAGTTGTTACAGGTCTGCAAACAAGTTGTTACAAATCTGTTCACAAGCTGTCAACAAGTTGTGTTCGCACTGCTTGTTCCCAGTTATTGTAACAAGTTTGGAACAAGCTGTTAACAACTTGTAACAAGCTTGATGGCATTATCAGACATTGTAGCATAGTTGTTCTAACAAGTCTGATACAGTCATGATATAACAAGAATGTTACAAGGTTGATGACACAAGTTGGAACAATATTGTTATATCATGACTGTATCGGACTTGTTGGAACAACCTTGCAAAAAGTCTGATAATATCAACAAGGTTGTTACAGTTTGTTCCAAACTTGTTGACAACTTGGGCAATAAAAGTCCAATACAAAACTTAAGTAAGAAAAAAACAACGCACATACTTTGCTATGTAAAGCCATATTGTAGTCCCAATCATAGACATTGTTTCTATAATCGTATCTTACTTCAAGGTACTTCCTTAGTCTCAAGTCCCTATAATATTATAAAATTATACAAAATTTAGCAAGAAAGACTTGTGGATATAGGAAGTTTAACGTCTGGGCTGGCTGCCTTCTGTTAAGTCTGTTTAGTTTAAGTTGCATATTGCGCCCCAATCTGCCCTGCTTCATTATTTCATTCTGTTTAACGCCAGACGATTTTACTCGGCAAGGGGAGAGAGCTAGCACTCAAGGGTTAATTAGACTGTCTCCCCATGTGTCTAGTTTATCCATTAAGTTGCATTGCGTCCTAATGAACCCTACTTTATTATTTTACTCTGACTATTGTGACTAAAGCCAGACGATTTTACTCGTTAAGAGGAGAGCAATGGCGCTCAACGCGTTAACAGAGTTGTGTTAAGTCTGTTTCGTTTAAAAGATGGATACGCGAAAATTACATAATTACAAATTCTTACACGGATAGATGACGTCATTTCTTACCAACATTTTGTGATGTCAAATAATTTTCCATCTGGATTTCGCCAAAACTTAAATATCCCTTCAAGCAAGTCTCGTTCCTTGAACTAAACGAAAAATACGGTCCTGCTTTCAGAAACTCATCTGAACCTTACATACACAAAAGTTATCACTCGTAATTTACAAGATTCATTGTGTAAACCTTCAACAGTGACATGTCAACCAAAGGAAAATTCTCTTTCATGTATTCTAAATCTGTTACCATCCTAGAAAGTTGGCAAATTCATAAAGTACCTGCCACTGATAGGAAACAAGTTAGAGAGGGGGTGTGGGGTGGGTGATGGGGCAGATAAAAAGTTAAGGTACCTTATACATTCATTGGCTTTTTCTTGTAAATATTCACTGGTTTGCGGACGAATCAAGCTGTTGCCAAACAGCTCCAAGAAAAGTTCACATTTCTCTGTAGGTTCAAAAGATAGCGCGAAGATTTTTCTCAATTTGTTACAAGATTTGCTACACGGTCATTTAAAGCTACAAGGAGAACTTTGACGTTTTCAGAGAAGGCCCTTTTTGTCAGGAAGTCTGGAAAATACCCTCCAAGTTCTCCTTGTATTTTTCAGGTAGTTGTATCCCCGTATCAGTCACTGGGGGAAAAAATGTGAAATCCACACTATGAAATTTGCAATTGCACGACTAAATCCATAGTATATCCATACTATTTCGATACTATATCCATGGTATGGAAATATACAATTATTATGGATAATCAAAATCCATTCTATTTCCAATAAAGGTCCATACAATTTCCATGCTATGACCTTCTATGGATTTTCAATTTTTTTTCCAGTGAGTCCTAACCTTTCAAATTATTGGAACTATACCAACACTGGCACAAATCGTTTATGTAAAGGTTCAATCAAACAGGTGATTCCAGCTAGACTAAATTTTGATCAAGGCAAGAAGAACGAAATCCAACACCACAGCTAGAAAGAGCGTATTAGAATGAGTAAAACTGCAAAGGTTGGTTGCTAAATGTTGTAAAATGAAGAAAATATAGCCCTGTGAAGTTCGCAAATTTTGTATATATTTGCATTACGCGCGGTAAAAATAACCACTTTCGGCTCAAAAATGGTTATTTTTCCCGCGCGTAGTGCAAATATATACAAAATTTGCGAACTTCACAGGGCTATAGTTTCCTCATGTTACAACATTTCGCAATCAATCTTTGCAATTTTTACTCATTTTAAGATGATCTTTCCAGCTATGGTAATGGATTTCGTTGTTCTTGTCTAGATCAAAATTTCGTCTATTTAGCTGGAATGATCAATTGATCTCATCTGTCAGACAAAAGTACTCTGTTCCTGGGTGTGGCAAGGCTGCATGTTGTTATTATTTCACTTGTTTGTTTCCCAGGAATTTTTAACGTACCTTGTAGGCCGAGTCTCTGCTTGGATTCCAATGCAATGCCAAGAAGTAGCAGATGTCGGGCAAACAGCTCAAGATTATTTTCCACAACGTAAATCTAAGATCATATTACATAGAAATCACACATAAGGCTTTTGTGACCAGATTTGGTAAAAAGTTTTACTTTGGTAAAATTTCGTGAATTTCCAAGAAAATTTGGTAATGAGTTTTTTTGGTAAAATCTTAAAGGTTTTTATTAATAATCGTTTTGGTAAAAATGTGTGTTTCTTGTTTAATATAAACGTGCTCAAAGTGATGAACAGAATTGCCAAGCTTGCCTAAGAAATAAAACCTTGTCATTAGCAAAAACTGCAATACGATGAAAGTAACAAGTATTTTGAGATACCTTTTTGGGCATATTTTTTCTACTTTGATGACGTAACTATTGTTTTTTGGCATTATTAATTAGACAACAAATGTTGTCATGTACAATGTAAATAGATTGTTATATTCCCATTACTTACTTTAATACCTGCATGCCTAATACTAATACTCTGTAAATAATTTTCTAAAGTTTATACTTCTGTAATGTCTTTTATACACGCCCCCTGTGGAAATCAGCTTCGGTTGACGGGGTTAGCGTGGTTAAATAAAGTTTATCTATCTATCTATCTATTATTAGCCATTCCGAAGTTGATGAGAGGACTGGAGACGAGTGTTAAAAAGTGCTCAAAATTAGTAAGTATGCAAAGTTTGAAGACATTTACATGAATACCATAGATGCCAAGGTTGTGTTTTGTCCATGCGTGAGATGAAGATGAATACACCGCAGCTACCGTAGGGGGGTCCGGAAAAATTTCCGGGGTCCCCCCTCCCGGAAAAATTTTGAAATTTGGTCTCGGAAACAGCATTTCCAGCGTTCTGAGAACATATTTGGGTGTTATTTTTGGTTCTCAAAAACAGTATTTCAGAGGTACATTTTGTGTAATAATGCATGTGAAAACATGTTCAATAATTGGAGTTTACATTTAAGTTTATAGTTATACTTATACACATATATCTCAATATGTTTATGCGTCTTTAGATTTTACATCAGTTACAATAACTGCTTTATAAATAATTTAGCGGGGCCGAGTAATAGCCTTGCCTACTAAGTACGTCAAACGTAAGCCGTATAATTGATAGCTTGATGCAATAGCGATTAAAAAATGCGCTCAAGTTACATCCTGAAGTAGTGTGTTGATTGCAATGTCCGACAGTGATAACATTATGAAATACACAAGGAAACACAAGTGCAATCACCATTATTTCTCTACATTTTAGCTTCTCAGCTAACTAATTTCTGCTTATGCGTGAGATAATCAAACTGAAGCGTGTGAGCGTGAGAAATGATGCTGAGGCGTGTGTCACACGCTTAATGCGTGAGACTTGGCATCTATGGAATACCCTTTGAATAATAAGCTTTCGAAAATTGTGAAATTACTGATTAAAAGATTGTTTTGGGATGCGCGTCCAAAAACAAAATTACAATACATTTCATAGTAAATATCGGATTTTCGAAAGCTTATTATTCATAGGATATTCATGTAAACGTCTTCAAACTTTTTGTACTTACTATTTTTGAGGTGGCCTTTTTAGTGATTTGGTTCATTTCTTAATTTGAGCACTTTTTATTGAGCACTTAATTTGAGCACTCATCAACTTCGGAATGACTAATTATGACATAATTATTTGGGAAGCCGACATTTGGTAAAATTGTTCTTAATTTAGTAAAATTTGAAGAAAAGTTTGGTAATGACTGCTGAAAAAATCTGATCACACTGATCCGTGGGGTCAAAGCATTGACCACATTGGACTCGATTTTTTATCGTGCATAATATATCCCCTTGATGAGTAAAATCAACTGATACTAGACAGAGTAAAGTAATAAAGTTGGGTGCATTAGGGCGCAATGTAACTTAACGAGTTAATCTTTCTTATCTGTTGCATCATATGTATTATCAAATCAAGCAACTTTATTTACATTAATTTGAGTTTTTTCCCATTTGTAAGTCTTTGCAAGAGTTTTCAATATGTGCCGGCAATCACCACAGCCAACCAAGAGGATATTGATTGGATCTACATGAAACACGAAATGGACATTACACCATGTGATTTGGTTTTGTGCCGTGACTGGCGGACACACTAACTGAATAACATGGATGACAGATAGACAGGGCCATAGCTATAGGGTGTGTGTTTAAGGGTTTTATCAGCAAATCAGCTAAAATATTTTAGTGTCTCGGATGAAAGTAATAGTTAGAGCAAAAATTTTGATAAATTTTATATGAGTTGACAAGAGTTGATAATAGTTGATGCTATGTAAAGCCATTACTGACAGACAGACAGATTTACAACAGACAGACAGAGTACATTCAATATTTAATATTCTAAAAATAAATTAAAATAAATGAAAATAAATTTATTACAAACAGGAAGTACCTTTTGAGCAGGCAGCATCACCCCACCTTTTATCTAAAAATAAAATTAACAGAAAAACAATTATATTCCTTTTTACTAAAATGGGCTATTACATTAAAAAACCAAACCTCGACAGGGGGGGTACGGATATTAATTGTAATAGCCCAATTTATAAAGAGAAAACAAACACAAAAAATATGCATTTCCTTTACACTCATTTTGAAGGTCCAAAGCTGGACTAAATCCCCACCACGTGACAGCACCATACGGTCCAACCATAGCTTCAAATTCTCAACAAACAAAATTCATTTCTTGTCAAATTTGTTCAAAAATATCCCGTTTCTATTTGTCCCAAACAAGAATTTTGCCGCCATATTTGATATATTTTCTCGCCTTATCTAATCACCCCCGGAATTAATTAGACAAAGAATTTATTTCCGGGGGATGAAATTGGAGACAATTTCTATATATTTTCTCGAGTCATTTGCCTCCCCCGGAATTAATCCTATGAAGGTATGCTTTCCGGGGGTTGTTAGGCAGTGAAGATTTTTCCGAGGCAACATGGCGACCGTTTTAGGTGTTGGAAGAATTAGCCTAAAAACAAGGATATTTACACCCCAGGTTTGATGAACATTTACCTACATAAATCACAAACTATTTGTACAATCTCATATATTTTGTGGGAAAATATTCAATTTTGTGGACACAGTTAAAATTGTTTTTGTGGGTTATATTTCACTAATTTCAGTATAAATATTTTGTACATTTGTTTACATTTGTTTGTGCTTTGTAGTTGTTCAAACTGGTTCCGGTTGTCCAAGGAAGATGTGTATCGGATAAAAGTTCTGGGCCAAGCCAAAAAGCTTCCAGTATGTTTTATATTTATATACTGTTCATTCACTGGCAGCATTGTATGAAACACTGAATCAATATTAAAGAGATGATCTCATAATCCTTACTGGATGTAAATATCCAGTATAAATAAAGTTAATTCAGTTTTCCTCCTGTAGTAACACTGGATCAATAAGAGACGATTCTTACTGAACCTCTAGAGAGAACAGTTTAGATTTCCTCCTGTAGTAACGCTGGATCAATAAGAGATGATCCTTACTGGACCTCTAGGAAGATCAGTTTAGAACTGATAGAGCTATCCAGTATAAATAAAGTTTGTTTAGTTTAGGATTCCTTCTGTAATAACACTGGATCAATAAGAATGATGATTCTTACTGGACCTCTAGGGAAAACAATGTAGAACTGATAGAGCTATCAAGTATAAATAAAGTTAGTTTAGGTTTCCTGCTGTAGTAACACTGGATGAACGAGAGACAATCCTTACTGGACCTCTAGGAAGAACTGTTTAACTCTGAATAATCGACCCCTGTACATAAATCCTAACTTCTCATTGTTATATTTCTAGACAAAACAGCCAAGCAAGAATCGTCTACAGAACAAGCTTCGTACAAAGTGCCAGAGTATTATTCGCACACTATTGACACTTATGCTGATATGGAAATAGAAATGGCCAGTCATCGACAGTCGCAACCCGATCCACGAGTCCCCTATCATCACCACTACCCGTGGGAAAAGTCTTCGTAAAAATAAAGAATTTGCTTTGTGAAGAACTTGTCTAAAGAACTTGTTTTGAATTTGAAATGCAGTATAAGAAGGAAGATTAAAACATTTTAACTTGCAGCAGTTATGTGGCAGTTTTTGCACGAGTATCTTGAACTCGTGAGATAATAACTTTTCAAAATATCACAGAAAGATAAAATACAATGTTTTGTAGCAAGTTTCATTGCAATAAAGTTTTGTATGACAATGGTGAATGGTCCAGTGAAGGTATTCTACAGTATAATAAGCTGTTGTGCTTTGCTACTTTTAAATGTATCTTTTTCAGGCGTGCTATTGGACGCATTGCGAGTTCATTGGTTACCCATTGAGCGGCAGTGCTCTCTCCTGGACAAGTAAAATTGTCTGGTGTTCGACCGAGTAAAATAATAAATTTATTTCTTGTTTTTATTTTTCATGGATATATACAAAAGGTTAATCTGATTAATTTTGCTATGTTTCAGACGTTTTAAATGTCTGTGTTCAGGCGACAACTGTTGTTAACGTTATTGGTCGAATGTTACAACAGTTGTCGCCTGAAGATGGACATTTAAAATGTCCAAATTGTAGCAAAATTAATCAAATTAACCTTGAAAAATAAAAACAAGAAATAAATTATGAACAACAAAGTTTTTAGAAACAAGATTAAAGATAAAATAATAAAGTAGGGCGCAATGCAACTTAATGGGTTAACTACTGTAGACACATGGGCAAATATTCTGATTTACCCATGAATGCCAGCCATGCCCAATGCCTTGATGAGTAAAATTGTCTGGCATTAGACAGAGTGAAACAATAAAGCAGGGGGCAACTCCACATTGAAATATGCATTAGATATCTTTGAAATTTCAAGATTTATTTAACAGTCCATGACAAACATATATATAATACACTAAATACTTTAAATTCTGCTTACAAACTGTAATATATTTTAATGATATTTATCTTTTTTTCCGATCTGTTCTTGGCCAAATAACCACAAAACATTGGATTTATTTCGGGCAGAGACAAAAAATAATAGAGGGTGTAATGGGGCAATCGCAACTGGTCTGCCGGTGTACAAATTTGTGGTTGTTTGATAATGACAGAATAAAAACCATTCAAAATCTCCATGACTTGTCAGACTATATACATGGGTTATTAATTTAAAAATTCTAAAATTATATAAATAATCCAAGAAGTTGAGCTTCTACTATCCTATATTACCCTCTGTAATCCATCAGCAATGAAGAACCTTTATGCATTGTAATCCATTATCATCCACTGATATCCATAGCTATCAATCACACACCATCACTGACTGCTATTCCTCAATATAACCATTTGTTATCGATTATTATATCCCTACCAAATATTGATTATTAAACTTTCTGAGGTTCGTCAGAATAGGTCACAACTCCGACCAATTCAATTGTGTTTCTTTTTAGCTTCATCATTCTATGTTTTGCTTTGCGATGTCTCCTGAAAATGTGAAAAAAAAATTTATACAAACCAAATTAGCACAGCATAATTGTCTAGTATCATATTGTAAAGTTGTTCATAGTTTATATTAACTAATGATTACACCCGTTTTCAAAATTACGCGACCAAAGACGAAAATGCTAGAGTTGACATGTCAGTTTTATGTCATTCGATCACGAAGTTCAAATTTTGAGTTTTGCGGTTCCTTGTCGATGTATATGCTTTGTATGCTTCATATAAACAGACTTACAATGATTTTCAAGATATTTTAGTGAGAATTATTGTAAAATTTAAGCACGACAAAATCATAACATCACCGTTATAGTCTAGCGCGCGTGTTTTATACTGACAGCTATATTCCAGGATAAATTGTTATTTTTCAAACTTTAAAAGTCATTCACGGCACATATTTATGTTGTGATGGTTTGTATTGTGCTTTAGTTTGTATATTTAAGTTATCTGACTCATTTTTGTTCAGTTTTGGTATTAAATACGGTTTAAAATGTCTTTAGACAGTTT